TTCCCTACTAATTCTCATTTTTTTAAAAAAGCCTACAGCATATACTTACCCAATAATCTCTGCACAGAATTAATACAGATGTTTTCTCAAAAACATCTGAAATTCCATTTTTCCCCAACATACGACAGGAAAAAAAAAAAGTAATCACAATAAACCAAAGCTTAAAAATTATAAACACAAAACTAAGGACCTACCAAATCCTCGGGGATCTGAATTGCCATTGTGGTAAGACTGATTGTCATCATTTTCAGTGCCCCAGTTGCTGCAGGAAATAATTATTACATATTGAAGAAAAGCATCAAAATTAACAAATACTAAATGTTCAGTTTCCTTGGGACAGTAAGTTGTTTCTCCTAAGAAACAAGAGAATTTCAGCTCTTGGCTGCACTCATTAAACTATCAAGGATTTCCCTTGTCACAGGTTCTAGGGATAGTCCTGGGGCTAATCCAGTCATGTTCACAGCCCTTCAGTAGTATTCAAGTTCTACATTTGAACGAGTCAGAAATACTCCTGTCTCACTCAGATTGGAAAGAAGGTTTGGCTGCACGAGTCAGTTACTCTACTCTTCACTAGGAAACAAAACGTGAGGGTTGCACATCCTGAAGCTAAGCAAGACAGTGGGGTATTTGGGAGATTCTTTCTGCACAATTACAGTGATTAGTAGCAATAATCAAATTGTCCTGTTAACAGGAAGTATATGTTTTGACTTTATACCTCTTTTGATTAGATTCCAAAAGCAATAGTTATCTGTTATTAGGATGCTCTGGGGATCCAAAAAAAAGTCTAAGCACATTGGGGTTTTCTAAATTCCCTATCCAGGTGGCATGCACACTCAAAATATAGCAAGAGTAATTTCATTTTCATGTACCTAGCAGTCTGAGAAAGCTCTGAAAAGCAGAAGATTACGTTTTCCAAGTACCCTAGCTCAGCCATATTTTAAGGCTACATGGCAGTGAAGATGTATCCACAGCAATGATTAAATTTTTTATTCAATCCAACAGTATTTACACTTCTCTAATTCTGTTTATTCACTGTTAGCTAAATGTCATCTCTCATATAAATACTTACTGTGTCAGTTCAAGTGTAGCTTTTCTGGAGAAGGTCCAAGCTGTTCTCTGAGTTTTATCTTTCGGGATATCATTCTTATCTTCATAGCCCATGAAGTAGAGTGAGAACTTCATAGTAGGAAAGTCAAATTTTTGAAGCAGTCTAAACGGCAACAATTATTTTGAAATAGTAAGTTAGAGGGTAACCAGGCAGTTTGCAAATAAGCCAAGCTGCTTGCCCCATGGAAGATTTATTTCTGTGAATTTTTGCCTTTCCTTAATCCACACCTTAAAATAGCTACATTTTAAACTACCAAATAAAAGCACTTCAGAACACATTACAAACCTACAAAAATGAGAAGAATCAGATGCTTAAAAGCCAAAGTACCAGTAACTGAATAGCAAAGTCAGTACAAAGGCTCACATCTTGAGTTTGTCACTCTGTTACTTGTATTTCTGAAAATAGATCTTTAACTACTTTAAAATTTCACCAAGGAATAGAAAGGTCTGTTTTTCTGGGGAGCTCACTGGCACCAGACAAAGTTTAAGAACACATCAAATATACCTTTAGATGAAATATGTTTATGATTTCAGTAGCTAGCTATAATGATAAAATCCATTTCAGATGTGACAATTTAATCAAGTAAAAAATACTTAAGGTATACATTTTTATGTAGAACAAGCAGGCATGCAAAATGAATCTAATTTCTAAGTTACAAGGTATTTAGGTTTTGGTTTTACACATTTTCACTAAAGTAGAAGTAATTTATTTTACTTTAGCCTGGACTTATTTCAAGATGTTTAAAAACACACTAGAATTTTGTTTTGAAATAACTCAAATGTCAAAAATGCACAAACAGCCTCAGCATACACACATTAGGCTACTGCAGGGCATCTGTCTCCCAAAAGCCTTCGTCAGGTGACTGAGTTTGGAGCTTATCTCCACCTTCAACGGCCTTGTTCTCTTATGAATGGAGGTGGTCATAAGCCACCTCTGAGAACTAGTAGAAAATTTATTTCCAAGAGTTATAGCAATGACTCCTGATTATAAGCACTATCATAAAAATTACCAGTTAGCTGCAGGCTCAGTGAGGGGGAAGTAAGCAAGTTGTACACTGATAATTAATGACCTATTTAAGAAAAAAAGAAATTTCTAGTCAAGGCCAGTATTAGCTCATTTGGAACTCAGGCATTAACTGTGCCATGGGAGTCCTCAGACACTGCCAGACTGCCCAACTGAGCATCAGCTGATGGGCCAGCATTGTTTGTGTAGTTAGACCAATTAGTATAATTACATCAAAATAAATTTTTAAAAAATTCAGAAGAACAGGAAGAAGCCCCAAATTTATTGTGGCCTACAACTTGTACTCACGTCATTCCAAGAACCCTTGTATAAAAATCCAGTGACTTCTTAGGATCCTTCACTCTTAACATTGTCTGCTGAAATATAAAATCCTGGGGAGGAGAAAAGGTTTATTCTTTATACATCAACCAGAATTGAATTATAGGTATTAAAAAACATGCCAGTTAGTAATGAACCTAAAACCAGCAGGTTTAGAAGCAACAAACAGAGAACTACATCAAGCGTAAATAAAATCTGCATGTGTCCTGATCCTACATATAGAGACGTGCGCTAAGTAAATATACCTTTTTAACATATTTAAAATTAATAAATAAAAACAGTTCTGGCATCACTAAATATATATAAGCCGTGGTATCAAAAAAGGATATCATTCTTATATTTATTATTCTTTGATGGGGCTGTAGCACACATGAACACCTTTGCAAACAAGCACAACAGACACATGAACATGACACTGGGCCTCACTGGAGACACAGAATTTACACGGAGCTAAACTCCATGGTCAGCAGGACCAGGGAGGTGATTCTGCCCCTGGACTCGGCGCTGGTGAGGCCACACCTTGAGTACTGCGTACAGTTCTGGGCTACTCAGTTCAGGAAGGATATTGAGGTGCTGGAGCAGGTCCAGAGAAGAGCAACGAGGCTGGTGAAGGGACTAGAGCACAAGTGCCATGAGGAGAGGCTGAGGGAGCTGGGG